CCAGTCGGCCATTTCGAACCCGATCCAAAAAAAAAATGACGTGCATCAAGGTCCTATTATGTTTAATGTATGTACCAAATTTGAACAAAATCCGTCCATGCATAACTGAGATCCGGGTCCGGAATGGTGAAAATGTGCGATTTTGATGCATTTTCGGCCTTAAAATGGCCGCTATTCGGCTATCGTTAATCGGATCATGAAAAAAATGCATGTGCATATGTCCCATATAATGTGTGATGTATGAGTGAAGTTTGAACTTAAGCGGTCCATGCATGTTCGAGATACAGGTGATCACGGACGCACGGACGGACGGACGCACACAGGGCAAAACATAAGTCCCCGTTTTCGGACTGCGTCCGAACGGGGACTAACAAAATGGCTTTATGGACCATCAAGGACTTCTTATGTTTAGTAGACCTAGGAAGTTTGAATGAAATACCAGCATGAACCTACAACCAAGATCCAGTTCCAGATTGACAGCCTTCTTGATATTGATGAATATTTAGAACTAAAATGGCCACCATTTGACCCCGTTGAATTGGATCATATGTATATGTATGATATGATGTGCGAGAAGTTTGAATGTCTGAGATACTAAGGCTGAACGAGGACTATAAAGTCATTGTGCATTCCCAACACTGTTTTGTAGAAAGCCAGAAATATTTTTGTTCAAGCGCAAAAATAGTTGCATACACTTAGCCCCATGCCTGGTAGGCAGTTACCGAGGAGCTTTGCAACATTCAAAGATGACTTTCCTGAGAAAGATTATCAAAACATGGGACACAACAAGCCTTTGAAGTGTGATCACATTGGACGGAATAGTTGGACTATTCCATTGCTTTTGTAGGTACAAAAAATGTTCCTGTAATATGATCATAAAACTGAGAATAGATATTATCAAGCAATAATAATTGTAGCAGTGTGAGTATCATGTTCTCAGTTTCTTGTATAATAGAATGTTCATGAACAGTTTTCCAGAAAGCGCATCACCCAGTCAATCTTTCTTTGGATTCTTTCACATTTACTTCTATATACTAACAAGTACAAGTTTCAAATATCCTTCAGATCCTGAGTATTATTTACAATGATATTCAAAATACAGTGAATTTGAACTTTATATATAAGCTACATTTATTTACCTCTTGATACTGATCACAGCTGGGGATGCACCTGTTGTCAAGGCAACCTTCCAGTCGTCTTCAGCTCCTTTAATGGCATATCTGACGAGAAATGAACAATAGCATAATATGGTAATCAAACTAGTTAGGAATGGTGCATGAAGAAGAAATGCAAATTATACTTACTGACTCAAATCAATATTCCTTAGCTGCTCCATTTCTTTATCCTGTTTTTCTTGTACTTCTGCTGCTCCTTCTTCCTAGTAAGTAAAATACATAGTGAAACTATTATAGCATTGCCCTACTTGATTATCTGTATGGTGCCAGCCAGCTTTAAATAAAACAATTCAGATATAGGCGACTGACAGAGGCATTTCTATATTGGGATTGTCTTCTGTCTTCCAACAATAACACAGATTATATTCCACAATACAAATCCCATAACGTACAAGAAGAAATCCGTCAGAGATGGCAGATCTCTTGGCATCTTTATTACAATCACTTGTTGAACATCTATATCAGCAAAAGTGTTCCAGATAAGGTCACATGACCATTAAATATATTGATCAGATCATTACTGTTAATGATATGCACCATGGTTATGTGATAATAGTTTATATATTCAATTTGACTGCTGCTGCCTTGTAACTAAGCATTTGCCACTGAAAACGAGAAAAAAACAGTACCATTTCCTGTTGCATAGTCTTTCTAGTCGGCTCCATGACTACAGTCTTCTCAGCAGCCATTTCCTTCTCAACTGATGCTTCAACAACAGAATTCAAATAGGTGGAGACTTTTCTAATAACTCTGTTATATAAGCCAAGAATTTGACTGACAGGCAGGTCCAGTTCCTTCTCTAGTTCCTCTACAGTCTTGTGTTGCAGTGCAAGTCCAAGTATAACTGCCTATGAATAGTAAATGAGTGAAATGCAGTTGTATCAGTTATCCGTTTACGCTTAGGTCTGTGCTATGTTAATTTGAATAACTCCCAGAACTTGAGACACTCAGTTTACTGTGGTTGATCTGCGAGGAAAAAATTAATGACATGTTTTTATGAATATAAATAGACAGTGTATTTTCTGATCCTGAATACATCACTTTCATTCTTTATGGAATGACTACATTTTTAACTAAACAATTCAGATAGTATAATTATAACATTATCTGATGTATTACTGATGGAAGCATCCAAATATTGTACACATAAGCTGTGGTCCAAGGTTCAAGATTCTTTGCAGGGAAGCTGCATGTTGCACCAATGTACTGGTCTAGAGTATATAAATATGTGGTTGTGGCAATCAAATTTGTTTAATATGGGTGTCATATTACAAACAGCAATGTATATAGGCAGAGGTACATTACTTGGGGTTTGCAACTACGATGACATGATACCAAGATCCCGTTACAATCTCGCTCTCACATAAGCGTTCCAACTCAGAAAAATGAGGTAACTTGGAGACTGGGATGTCCAGGTGGATCAAAAAAGCTGCCCACGACATGACGGATTACGAGAACTATATTTTCTGTACATTTTCGATGTATTACATTTGTCACTATGATAGTGGCAAGAAAAGTTTTATTTTTTCATTACAAACCTTGAACATTGATATGTGTCATGTCAGAAGGTCGTAGCCTCAGTCTCGCTATCTACGAGAAGAGACTTGAATGGGATCTTGACATGTCACCATACAGTACTATGCGAGTTGCAAACCCCAAGTAATGTACCTCTGATATAGACTGTAATACTTGTTGACATTCTAAGTGCATGCACAATGGCTGGTTAGTGAGAACTCAAAGATGAAATAACGGTGTAATTTGCTGCTGTTGTTATTAAATATACATGTCTGTGTTCCTGTTTATAAAACAACTTATGAGGAAGATCGTGAGTCAGTGTGGATCATTGAGTGACATTTCTTATCATATTTCGCATGCTTTTTGGTAAAAACGTAAACACATGAAGTCAATGTGCGATGACCTAAACATCCAAGTCCAATGTTACTTACACAACATTTTAACATGTACATCTATGGTGGTTCTTTCAGTATGCAATAAGGTCGCATCAGTTAGTCTTCAATACAGTTTTAGTCTCATTTATTTATTTGTTACTAGAAAATTACTCTTTCTTTTTTATGATGGACAACCTGGAATCACATGAATATGAAATGTATACACCCTTCCTAACTACAGTGGAAAACTTACAGACTGTACAGCAGACAACTGAATATCCAATCTGTTTAGGAAGTATAATCGAGCTATGGCTGGTAACATGTCTGTAATGAGATGATGGTCCACCATGTTTTTAGAATAGAGTTCCAATCTTTGTAAATCATACTTAGAAAACTCCGCATCAAGCTCTTCTTTTGTCAGACCTGTTGTAGAAAAGTGAAATTACTACATAGCTCAAAGACAGTATAATCAATTTGGTTTGCAGTACAGAAACTTCTGTTCTTACCATTTGTGTCAGACTTGTAATATTTGTTGTGCAGTACACTGAGACCCAAAGATGGTGTAAACTTATGAAACTGGTATGACAGTAAGGACAGGAATCTTTTCCTGAAATCTATCATAAAAAAAAAAAACAATAAAATAATTTAATTGTTAAAACAATTCATTGTTAGTACAAAAATTTTAATTTTATAATAAATATTCAATAACACAATTAATATTTATATATTTTATTTAGAGTACTTTGATCCACAAGAAATATAGTAAATTTATTATTACGTGATGATTAATATTCATTGTGAAAATATATACTGAGGTTCTTGTTTATTTTTTTACCACCTAGGACATCCATGTGACCCACCTTTCCAGAAAGCAACCAACCAGTTTGATTCATTTTTCACAGACTCTAAATTCAGCAACTTCAACATAATACAGGAATGTTCACCTGTGAGGGCATTCTGAAAAGATATGAAATTCACTAACACATTCGCAGATTGCACATGACCTTGACACATTTTTTATTTTGTGCTACTGAATGACTGAAAAAAAAATTTTGCAACCTAATCAGTACCCAACTGACTAGTATTTTAATTACCATGGCAACAATGTTAAACATACAAAGTCTCTGATGATCAATGCAGAGGCAGAATTCAAGATAGTAGAAAGAAAGTCAGTTTATCAGATGTGATTTCATCAAAACACATCAGTGACAACACACTAATTCACTATATAACCTAATACAAAGTTGTTCTTTAACTTACAGCTGTCTGCCTGAGATACACCGGTACAAATTTTGCTTTCTTCCAGAATCTGTTGAGGATAAAGTTAAAACACATTTCTAATGAAATCAGTATAGCACACTTGTGTACATTGACTGTCATATTTCTAGATTTAGCTCAGTATAGTCATTCCAAGGTCCAGGGATCTCTGGTTGGTGGTGGTCGCACCATGGAAGGAGCCATGTTGCTATTGTTTTAGCTTTACCTTATGATCGTTTGTCAATGTTTGTTCACAAACATTGGTTTTTGTTAGCTTTTAGCACCTTCTTACAATAGGTTACGCTAATCTCGAGCATTTGGTAATATTCGGAGCATGTTTGGTAGCAATAGACGAACTGCGCATGCACAAGATTGAAAATGACGTCTAGTTGGAATGTTGTTGTTTCCGGAGATCTTGGCGAATTTTAATGTAAAATATAACAGATATAACATCGATTGAAGAACTGATGAAATCGTGAATCTGTTTGTATTTGTAACGATGATGAGACGTAATCCATGATTGCCTGTGACAATAACGATTGCATTACTCAATGGTACCATTGTCAGTGCGTGGGTTTGACACCCAAAACTGTTTGAAATTTCCGACCATCGGGCATCGGCGAACACAACCAGAAAAGATAGTATCGAAAGAAGGGCATGCCTAGACACTTTCTCTATGAATTTTTGTTGTAGATGCTCAAAATCTTGTTCTTGTTACAATTGCTAATAATGAAAACATGTGAAATCTGTGAAATCAAAAGTTCATCTGTTGAATTTCCAGCTGTGAAATGCGTATTTTGACCATTTGCACCTAAAAAAACAAAGTGCGCATGTGTGATGGCCGTAGTTTCATAATGCGCATATATTTTATGGTCATGTTAAAAATGGGCGAGGTTATATCATACTCCGCTAACTCGTTACTTGTGTAAACAATTGCAAACTATCATCAACATCAAAGATGAGCTAGACAATGTTGAGACAAAAGGAAATAAGCCAGTTAAGAGGCTTAAGTGGCCACTTGATCTGCGTCACGGCTCCTTCCGTTAGTACCTTCTATGGTCACACAATGTGGTAGTGGCTTATAAACAATACTACCCCGGTAGTCAGTTTTGTAAAATTAGCACCTCATTGTTTGTAAGTGCAACACTTTGTGGCGATACACAAAGTCCTTAATTTTAACAAATTTGTTTTTTAATAACAATCTTTTTATGAAATTATGAAACGAGTAATATTTGGACTTGAATAAAAAAAAGCATTTGCAATGTGACCAAATCATTAATATTCATTAGCTTATTAATAATCATGACTGACCAGCACTTCCATTGGACTGGTGAGATATCTGAATGTCAAGTTATGATATACAGTATCCCTACTAGCTATGGTGACACAGTGGTGCATGCAAACAGCATTACAATATGATTATGAATATAATTGCTTTGGTAAACAAATTTGATTTGAGCCCTCCTCCCTTCAATATCAAAAGGTCAGTCCCATATGACCCTCAAATACAGATATATAAACTCACCTGAGAAGATCAGCTGTGAGTCCATACGACACTCCTAAATAATCTAATTCTTCAGCAGGTCTTTCACTTAGTTTAGATAACAGAGGCGGTAAATTTTTCCTCGGACCAACGACTTCTTCCAGTAATGATACATGCTGTCAAATAAACATTGCAAGTTATCTTGTATTGTAAACGATGCATTTTATCATAATCTGCTGTTCACCTTAAAAATATTTAATTGTCATTTGAATGTATATCAGAATTACCCATCTATAGTCTAATCTAATGGTATTCATTTTTATTAATATTTGAACTTTACTTTTCTCTCTTGTTCAGTTGGTTAACAGTGACAGATATGTTCACAAATACAGAATCTTTATTTAAGTTGTCGTTCAGGTTAGAACATTGAACTTTAACTCGATCATAATTTCACATTCTAAGTAATTTATCATACTGTGATGATTTGAGGCTACGACGTTTAGTTTAGTTATTTGCATAATGATATTGATACATTGTATGGAACATCTAGTGAGTATTTAGACTCAGTTCCAGGCCTAGCAGTTGAGCAATAAACATCTTAGCTCCTTTCCAGTGCGTTATTCTCCTCCCAGATTTGTTGACCAATACTCACTTGGTTCACTCTACCTTGAGAAGTCTGTTCTCAGTTTACACATGCATATTGACATACATCATGCTGGAAAATATTTACCCATAACTTTATGTCACTTAATGTTACTTACATCAGTATCCACAGTATGGATGTCTTGCTGGGACAATGTATTTTCTGACATGCTGGGTATCTGTCCTTCGTAATAACGTTGTAATACTGCTAATGCCCGGCTACCATAACCCATCTACAATGTAGGAAAACAAAAGGATATGAGGTTAACCAGGGCAGTCATGTTTTGTTCACCTAAAATAAAATCTTGTTCAAACTTCGACATTTGTGCCCCAAATCTTCAAGTATAACAAGACTTTGGGAGACTGTTAATTTGGCCTAGTAACCGGTTGCTAGTCACATGATAAAGGTCAAGCTTCGATTCAAAATGCAAGTGTGTCTGTTTCACATTTTCGACCATGGCTGACTTTGATAGAATGATGGTACCATGGCTCAAAGACTTTCTTTGTAAATTTAAGGTAGAGATGCAGTTTACCTGACAGGTATTTTAATTAGTTAACAAGCCATGCATGGCACAGTTCCTGTTAGTTATCAAATTTAAGATATATAGTTTTGTTTATAGTAATATGGCTGGAATATAACCATGTCAGGAATATGATTTTTTAACATTAAAATGATTGACATTTGTATCTGATCGTCAAACAAGTACTTGTCCATATTGAGAGATATTGCTCTGGAACAGCAATCAAAATCAGCCATTTTTAATACATGTATATATATCATGATGTATAACGAATATATAAAATTTGAATATAATCAGTCAAAGCATTTAAGAGATATGGCTCTCGAAGCCCAATCATTAAAACAAAATGGCCGCCAGTCAGCTATTTTGAATCCAATCTGAAAAATAAAATGACGTGCATCAGGAACCTGTAATGTCTAATGTATGTTATACGTTTGAACAAAATCCATTCATAAATGCAAGAATTGCTTGATATTTGAAAATTGTTTTAGCACAAAAATAGCCACCATTTGGCCACTTTGAAAAGGATCGTCAAACCAATATATTCGTATATCTATGACATGATGTATAATGAATATTAAAAATTTGAACATAATCAGTCAAAACAAGTCAGACATATGGGTCTGGAAACCCATTCATTAAAACAAAATGGCCACCAGACAGCCATTTTGAATCTGATCTGACAAACAAAATGATGTGCATTAGGAACCTGTAATGTCTAATATATGTACCAAGTTTGAACAAAATCCATCCATAAATGCCAGAAATGCTTGATATTTGATTATTTTTTAGCACAAAAATGACCACCATTCAGTCATTTTGAATAGGATCGTCAAACCAATATATCTGTCTATCTATGACATGATGTATAATGAATATTTAAAATTTGAACATAATCGGTCAAAACAAGTCAGAGATATGGCTCTAGAAGCCCATTCATTAAAACAAAATGGCCGCCAGACAGCCATTTTGAAACAGATCTGAAAAATAAATGATGTGCATCAGAAACCTGTAATGTCTAATATATGTACCAAGTTTGAACGAAATCCATCTGTAAACAGTCGAGAAATGCTTGATTTTTAGATTTTTTTAGAACAAAAATAGCCGCCAATCGACCATCTTGAATCAGATTGTAAAACAAAATGATGTGCATCAAGGTCCTATAATGTCTAACATATATACCAATTTTGAAGAAAATCCATCTGTAAACAGCCGAAAAATTGCTTGATTTTGATGATTTTTAGCACAAAAATGGCCGCCATTCGGCCATCTTGAATCAGATCGTGAAACAAATTGACGTGCATATGTATAATATCATGTATGATGTATGTGTGAAGTTTGATTGTGATTGGTCCAGGCATTTCTAAGATACAGGTCCGGACGCACGCACAGACGCACGCACACACGCACGGACACACGGAGGTCAAACATAAGTCCCCGTTTTCGGACTGCGTCCGAACGGGGACTAATTAGGAAACCAAGATCACCTCCCTTGTCCACAAAACTATATATTTTCAGAAAGCTTATTGTATGAATTTTGTTAGTATTTTTTTTTATGGACACTGTAGTTTGAAATATGCACAAAAATGTGCTTTTTTGGTCAAAAGTGATTTAAAAAAAAATAGCTTCTAAACTATGCTTCCGTTTCCTGACAAAATTGGTTTATGGGTACACATCTGTTTACTATGAAGAAAGTGCCGTCTTTAAAACTGTCTACCAGTTGTCAATTTCACTACTTCAAGTTTATGCATAAATTAACACCCTGGCTAGTCGTCTGTACGATTGTTGTAACACTGTTCAACCAAAAACAATGCCCCGACGAAGTTTTGAAGATAAACACACTGTCAATCATTTGTGAAAATTTCAAAACAAAAGGTCAAAGCATCTATGAGCTATTTTTTCTGGGATGTGCACTAAAAAGAAGCTGAGATAATTGCTAATTTGCATAACAATTCACTCAGTAAGAAGTTTGTTAATGCTCATAATTAAAATGGCTGTAATAGTTCCAAATTTAAATGTATTATCGTTTTGTTAAAAGTTAAATATAGTGCATAATATGGAGATCCTGTCATTTCTTTCTTTCACCATGTTTCTTTTTTATTATTTATGTACAGTTTTGCTAAATCTTGCTAAGCATTCAAAAGAGAGAATGTTTGCACCTGTTATCTATATTTTAAAATCGTTTTTTTGAGTATGTTCCACTATTCACAATTCTACAAAATAGCCAAGGCTGTTTGGATAATAAAAAGCAAAAAAAAAAAAGTTTCACTCCCAAGTGCCCACGATCCTGCATCTCTACCTTAAAAAGAATATTCTTGTAATCACTAAAGATGTGCATGATTTATAACTTGGGAAGACCCGATTTGTTACGGCACGATCCTAAAAACAACGTTGCTACAATACTTAGCAAACATGGTTGCAATTTCACTGATCCATTGAAATTACCTGGTTTCATGTTCCAGAATTTGGCTTGTTCAATGTTTTCAACTATTTAATGTGTCCTCGATCCAACTAATGACCAAAAGAAGCTCAGGATCTAAAAATCGTTCAAAGATTTCAAATTCTTGTTGCAACAGGCATGTGGCTGACCTGCAGTTACATGGCAAATTACAAATTCCACTTGGTGCAGACTGACCTTATCTTTCGTGATTGGAATATATGTATTTGGTGTGGATGCAACTCCATAAGACCTTTACCTTCCTTCACACAAAGTGCAGATAACAAACATGCGTGCCCTTGGTAACTTTTTTAACTTGTAACTTTAACAGTTTGTAAGAGAAAATACTAATTAAAGATGACTAAACATAATTGATACCTACCCTTAACAAAGTTTATGCTGTTGAAATTAAGAGACTTACCCCCTGGTAATCAGGATGAGTGGCTATCCTAACCACCCTGCATCCAGACAAACCTGGAAAATCATGGTCTTGAAACTGAAGAGAGAAGAGAAACAACAATTAACTGAACAGCACTTTCACTAAAACTACATAAATCTATAGCAATGATATCACTAAAATATGTTCATGGTTCAGATGACTGTTCAATAGTTTGCTCAGTTTTTACTACATGTATTAAGCTCGTACATGTATGGTAAGTTTTATATGATGGCAATGTATCAGTGGTTGTCAGCAATCAATTTCAGCTAAAACTGAAATGTCAAAAATGCCGACAATATTCTAATATTATTACCTGTTGTGATATGGTCCATGGTATGAGATCACCAGAAGATCTCTTTCCTCGTGATAAACTATTCATAATAGACTTCTTAGAAATCTCACCTTCTAAAGCAACCTATGAATACAGTGTAAATGATGCCATTTCTTTATTAATCGTTTTGTGAAGGACAACTTATATCCAGTGAAGAGATATTTTGAATTATCTGAAAATTTCTAGTATTCCAGTTGGGCTACTAATTTTTTAAAATGGTCTTCTTAGCACAACTGGTATTCTCTGAGCTTTGGGTTACTAATAATTCCAAGCCCTGCTTCACAGGAATGTTCAAATTACAAGTTAATTTAGGAATTCCAGTCAGCAATTTTGTACATCCTCTCTATCTAAAACATGGATTCTTTCAATACAGCCAGTTTTTCCTCACCTACATGTAACTCTAAAATGTGAAATAAATAGGGGTACTGGCATGTGCGGTTTATTTACAAATTACAGTGAGGAAATATTACCTGAATGACACAGAGTACTTCTGGCAAAGCATTCTGGGTAGGGTTGACAGGTGGTAAAAGACAAAATAAATGATGTGCTGGTGCATCTGATAACAACTGAAGATCATCTGGAGTGTTCTGAAAAAAAAAAAAATATTTTTAAAAATAATAATTATTGTATTTACATATTAATATTAAGTGACAAAAGTGTTTAAAGGCAATGTTACTCATCTCTGTGATAAAGTGTTATGTTATATGCAATATCCCTATACTTTCTGTTTATTTTTTTTTCAGATAAAATGTCAACATCATTTCTGAGAATAAACATTGAGCAGTACATTGACAATTTCAAATTAAAAGAAGAACAAACAGATGAACCTTCTGTGGACACAAAACAGATAACATTGAAATGTAGAAATAAAAAAAATTGCCATCCAATCAATCAATCAATCAAAAATAAATAAATAAATCAGTTTAATACCTTATAATGTGATGCCACATAGAGCGACATTAATCTTTGCAAGAACACTTCAGAAGCCTTGTGATAACTGAATAGAGTGTCCCGATTAACATAATAAGTGGACAACATATTAAGAAAAAGATTTCTTTGATACATAAATAGAAAACTTGTATTATACAGGTAACCCTTTGAGTGCCATTATCAGCTTTTGGTGCCATCTACAAATTATTTTGTACAGTCTGTTGCCTCACATGAAATGTTGATAAAATTGACAAATCTTTTGATCAAAAACTAAAAGCAATATCTGAAAGTGTCTGTATGGTCCAAAATGATGATGAAATTTTGTGAAAATTTTACGAAATGTAAAAATATTTGCAGTGAATTTTGGGAGCAAAAATATCTGGTACTCAAAGGGTTAAACCACATTGTAAATAGGAATGTAATCCACATATAAAATGTAACATGAACAAAATGAGAAAGCAAACATCCAGGCATGACATTTAACAGCATTTTTTAAAACAAAATGGCTCTTTTTAAGAGAACAATTCAATTTGAATCCGATCCATAAAAACACAGAAGTACAGAAAACATAACTGAACTACAAGATATGTTCACAAACTATTTTCTATTTTGGATATTTAGAATCTAACTTGATTCATACAATTTTTAACACCAATGAACAGATATGACCCATCCAGGGAGTTAATTAAATATGACCCATGTTGGTATCCAAGGAGTTAAATATGACCAATGTTGGTTTCCAGGGAGTTAAATATGACCAATGTTGGTTTCCAGGGAGTTAAATATGACCCATGTTGGTATCCAAGGAGTTAAATATGACCAATGTTGGTTTCCAGGGAGTTAAATATGACCCATGTTGGTATCCAAGGAGTTAAATATGACCAATGTTGGTTTCCAGGGAGTTAAATATGACCCATGTTGGTATCCAAGGAGTTAAATATGACCAATGTTGGTTTCCAGGGAGTTAAATATGACCAATGTTGGTTTCCAGGGAGTTAAATATGACCCATGTTGGTATCCAAGGAGTTAAATATGACCAATGTTGGTTTCCAGGGAGTTAAATATGACCCATGTTGGTATCCAAGGAGTTAAATATGACCAATGTTGGTTTCCAGGGAGTTAAATATGACCCATGTTGGTATCCAAGGAGTTAAATATGACCAATGTTGGTTTCCAGGGAGTTAAATTGGAAAAATAAAAGGATATAGATCACAATCTTCTGGTAAGGGACATCCAGAACTAATTCTTGATATACTTGACACATTTAGACATAATAAATTATTCAGCCATTGTTCTACGTCATCTCCAGTAGCGTATCGAATTGATTCATTCAGTGTTATCTCGTGCAGTATTCGGCCTGGGAATTAAGGGACAAACAGATGTTAATATTAAGTCCAAAGTCATGAATGTGTTTCCTACAGCTGAGCACGTACAAAGTATATAATGAGATATAAACAGATCTCAACTGATTTTCAAATTTACAAAATCTTCAGTGTGTTTCTAGCAAACATGACAGTCCACAATGCCAATAGAATGAAGTTAGCATATACAATTTTAAAGCACTTAATACTGTGATGGTATTTGCAGACAAGAACATTGTTGAAAATCAGTTGCTTTATTATGGTTTAGGTTATACATGTACACCCTTTGACACTCTTTGTTCGTTAGAATCCTATCCTTCATGAATAGTTAATCAGCTTTGTGATGCCATTTGAGAATTATTTATTATTATCTTTATTACCTGATGCTGAGGAGCCCGCTTCTGTCTGTATCGCCATGGCAGCAGCAGCTTTGGCTTCAGCTTTATTAGCAGTGCTGTACGTCATATTTTGCTGACGTAACTGTTGTATTAATTTGAGTGACAATGACCGACCTGTGCCTTCATAACTAGTTAAAAAATGATGTAAAATTTAATGATGACAGTAATAACATGCAGGAACTGGTTGCTTAATAAAGTTAGGATTTATTTTTATTTTTTCCCATATATTTTTCAAAAAAGACATTTTAGGAAAAGGACTTAGAAATCTGAACAAGATTGCAACAAAAGAGACAAATTAACTATAGTTCAAACCCTTTATGCAAATAAAATTGTGTTCCTGTATAAAAAAATGTTTTTGTGACATTTCTTACCCGTTGACAGTTGAGGACATGAATACCAAATAGGGACCCAGGAGAAGTTTAACGAGTGGAAGCGGAATGGCTGCTGCTTCGTCAATCACAACAAGTTCAGCTTGACCTAGTTTATGAGCATCTGATGGATGGATGTACTGTGGTAGAAATGCAACTGCTATTAGTATTACTAGAGGTACATTATTGTACTTGGGGTTTGCAACTACGGTGACATGATAACAAGATCCCGTTTCAATCTCGTCTCGCATAAGTGTTCCAACTCAGAAAAATGCGAATGCGAATGCGCATGCCCGAGGTAACTAGGATACTGGGATGTCCAGGTGAATCAAAATAGCTGCTCACGATATGACGGATTACGATAACTATATTTTCTGTACATTTTCGATGTATTACATGATTTCACTATGTATGTGATAATACATGTTTTATTACAAACTGCCTATGTCATGTCAGAAGGTTGTACCTCCATGTATGTAAATGTGTCGAAATCGACGAGATGAGACTTGAATGGGATCTTGGCATGATGTCACCATACAGTACTATGCGCGTTGCAAACCTCAAGTAATGTACCTCTGGTATTACCATAAATTTAAATAGAAAATCTCATAACCATGTATGCAATGAGATCTCTCATGAAGCAAACTCTCGTGATTTGCGAATTCTTGAAATTGATCTAATTCCATGCACGTCAAGTGAACATATTATAACCAATAGCATTACTGAATGCAGTGAAATATGTTTGATTGCATAAATGGGAACGAGATTGTAGCCTCATTCAAAAATATATTATACATAGACTCACTCACAGGTTTCTCTTGCAATTTTGTGATTGTCTCACAATATACGTGATATCTTTATTACATATACCGTTATTAGTCATTTACATACCCTAATCTTAGAAATTCTTATTATCTTGATATTAATTTATTCATAACTCAAGCTATATGACATACTTGAGTGGTACTTGGAGACCACAATAAATACTGCCTGCACCCAAAGTGTGCTCGCAACAAAATGTTGGTACACATTTTTTCCTATATAGTCTGCTGTAATCCTATAAATCTAATGCCCACATAAAAACGAAATTCAGTAATAATGCTTTTCATGGATTAGAACAGTTTTCCTACAACTCCAAACATAATTTGCATATAAAATTTTGCAGGTTTAATCAAGTCGTCAACAAAGGGCACAGTGCAATGGCAAAATAAGTGGGGGGAAAAATGATCAAATCACACTTTTTTTTTGGTGGCATGCACACTGACTAGAAACAACTTTTCTAGATCTTTGTCAAACAAAATAATATAAAATGCTGAATACCTTTAATATCTTTATAATATCTTTGTATCAAAACATAAAATTGCATAACATTACAATAATTACATTTGAAAAAAAGCAAAACTCACTGCAATAATCAACAAACTGGGCTGAGCCATCATGACACACAACTCACTTGTTATGCAACCAATTATTACCTGTATGGTTTGTCTATGTTCTCTAAATATATTCACTCTGACAACAGCTTTATTGAATTCAGGATTGGTAGACTGTACAAGTTCATAGTCAAGGTGTTCCTACAAATCAAAATAACATTGACAACCAAAAATTGGTAGACTGTACAAGTTCATAGTCAAGGTGTTCCTACAAATCAAAATAACATTGACAACCAAAAATTGGTAGACTGTACAAGTTCATAGTCAAGGTGTTCCTACAAATCAAAATAACATTGACAACCAAAAAATAAACCTAGATATCTATATACTGTACCAGTAAGTTTAAAATAAAGGATGGCTGTACTTGTACCATACAGTGATACTCGTATGACATTTACCATGCTGTTTAGGTTCAAACATACATTTACTCTGGTGTTGTTATACATTGTATGAGACTTGTTTCATGCAATGAATGCTGCTTTTCAAATACTGATGAAGCTGTGGTTACATTTTCTATTTCATCACCTTGTAACTATAGTGATGAGATTATGTGAATCACTCACTTACCTGGTATTCCAAGGCATCAAATCCTTTGAAGACGAAATCAAACATTGTACGAAGATTTTCTGGACTAGGTGCTGTCACAAATATATTAGAATAACTGTAGAGAAATAGAGTTATAGAAATTTACATCATTTCAAATACGCGTATCAAAGCATATATGACAAAGGAAATGAAAGATACTTGAAAGATTCCTCACCTAAAAGCAACTGCTGCCGACATAGCAAGCCCAAGAGCTGCTGATTTCCCTCTGCCTCTGGCTGCAGTCATGGCAACTGTGCTCCGAAGCGTCTTCTCAGATATGGCTTCAACAAATTTTAGTACAGCTTTGGCCTAGAATGAAGTAGATACATTATCACTATAACTGATGGTTTATCTTGAATACATTCTGTATCAACTCATATGAAAACACACATATAGCATCACACATACTGGTACTGAGATAATACATGCCTATATAGATTGCAACAGGAGTCTATGATTGTAAACTACAGTTAGGCAAGACTTTTATTATCCCTTGTTTCCCGAACCCGCCGAATGAACAGGAGCCGAAAATGAAATAAAAATAAAATTTTATTTCAGCGTAATTTCTCGCGCCCGCCTACTTGTAAGCGCAAAAAAAATGCTAAAAAATATTATTTTTATCTTCATTTTTTTACCGCCCGCCGCATAACAAATCCAAGTTACATTTTCGTGGGAGTATAATGATCAAAGTATCGAAGTCTCGTGCAGATGAGAAACAAGGTTATACATGGAATAACATTTTATTTCATTTCTTCTCTTCAATCAATGATCTCACTTACAATTCTTTGAGAATCACACAAATCGAATGGAAAAAAAATTGTCTTATAAAAACTCAAGAAACAAGGAATAAAAAAAGTCTGGCCTTACCAATTGTAGTCAATCAGCAAAGAGTTTTGCTTTATACCCCATCACCCAAATACTGACCTGATCCAAAGTTTTACAACAGTTGACAATTACACCAACAGGCTGCGTGTCTTGTAAGGATTCTTTCAGTTCTTTTAACTCCAAATCTTCAGCACTGAGTGAGTCCTCCTATAAAATTGAAAAAAATACTATCAAAGTAATATTAACTTATATTATTTATTATACATCTGTCATCGTTATAGCATGCCATAATTTTGCGGTATTTTAGGAGGGGGTATTTTCATCCTACCATATTAGGAAATGCAAATTCCAAATATGGAATGATTACGCACATAAGCATCCTCTAATAATAAAAACAAACATGGCAGCCACCAGAGTTTGACCAGACTCCACACAAAGAAGTTTGCTGACTCTGTTCTAAACATTTCGGCATTCGCATGATGTAGCCTTGGAAGGAAAAGATGTATAATAAAATAAGGTTATTACGAGGATACCTCAAAGTATGCACTCAGACAGTACACCGTCGCATCAACCTCCGCTGCATACTTTGAGGTATCCTCATAATAACCTCATATTATATTTATAACAATAACTTTGCCCATCAGCTTTTCCCCCTGTTGTTTTTGAGGTTTTTATGCACAATAAAATCATTTAATGTCATCTTAGGGGTTTAGTCACAGTTGAATATTTTGAGATGGATTATTTGGAATTTACTCGCAAAGACAAACATGCTTTAATTGTCAATACCAGGTGCGAGTCTAAAGACAATGAAATGAAAAAAAAATAAAAAAAAAAAATTACCATTATTGTAACATAACCTACCTTTGATTTTGCTGGAACTGGCGTTATATTCAAACAATGTGTTGATATTGGTAATATATTTAGTTGATCATCAATGACGATACAGTTATTGCAGGAAGATAGTGATAACAGAAATCTGAAAAACAAACACGATGAAAGTTGAAATGAATACCATTTTGCTGTATTCTGTATTTACCTTAAAACGTACCATCCCTGTCAAACACCTAACACTACTGTACACAAAAGCATTTAGTTGATTATTTATAAATTATCAGTTATTTTTGACAGTACATGTAATTTGTCTTTTTGAGATGCAATATAGTTGTACTTTATGGGTGATGTTAGTTGTATTAAAGGGCATTCACTTTCGCGCGCGTCCTGTTCGTTATGGAACTGATAAAGACGTATACAATACACGTAAAATACATTGTTTACATGAGATGTGCGACAACCGCCCTCAACCATATAAGAAAATTGTTAGATGCGTATTGAACATTTGTGGTATGACAAACAGGACATCCAATCAGAAACCATGACATTCAAAGTGGCATGAAGCTTGTCACTATGATGCAGATCAAAGGTTACATTTTATTCATACCTTTCATTAAATCTCGCAACAACATCTTGATGCGCCTCCGTCCGGAATCGAGAGTGGACATCCATTGTCATTGTGTACAATTTTCGTAATGACGTCATTGTTCTTAGTAGTAGTACAATTATACCACCACCTTCCACTGTTTCTATTGTTCTGGCAAGTAAGTTAGGAGTCATCGCTTCAAAATCCTGTGAAATAAAATTATATGTTAGGGCATGAGACATATTGAAACAAAAATGTGTTTGAAAATGTAATTGAAATATGAAATAATCTGTATTGAGCAAAGAATATTTTCATTCATATGCAACAGCCATTTTGTGCAATGAGACACATTTTTGAGTATTTTATCATCTGTTTAGCACTTTAGCAAAAATTTAATGTGGAATATTATACGAGTACTGATATATCTGAGAAGTGATAAATCTGGCAAAGTTCTTATATTACTCATTAAAGAAACAGAATGAGACTTACAATTACCGGAAGTTATTTCTCAGACAACTATTTATCATAAATATATATTTAATGCTTTGAATGTTACCTAACCAATTGTTAATATATGCCAAAATGGTGTAATTTTGGGTAAAAATAAAATAAATTAAATACAACTGGTCATTCCAAAGGGGGATTTCCATTTTATCAAAACTATGTTGTATTCCATACAAGTGATGACGATCAATATACAAGTGATATATAAGCAATATACCGTACAGCTGAAAACTTGTTTACCAAAATGTTACACTATGCTATTGTGACAGATGTCTATTCATTAGAAAATAGTGTTTTCATGTTATCAAAAGGGAAATGTAGTCTAGTTTTTAAAGTTTTTACACAAGTCGTACAAAAGGTGTATTGTTCGAACAAGTGTTTCTGGTATACATATGGGTTTGAATAAAAAAAATGCAGCTAACATTAAATGGTTTATACATAATTCTCAACAAATCTTACCTGTAAGACACACATTCCAAATGTATTTCCTAATATTTTATGCGTTTCTGAATAATAGCAGTATCTGATATTAGTTGCAGCAATGAACAATTCAAATGGATCATCATCTTTTAAATCTAATGTACCACTTTTGATTTTCTTTTGAATTTGGCGCATCCGTTTTTTGCGATGACTGTCAAAGAGAAAATGGTTAGGCTCCTATATAACGTACCAATCAGATGGCTGGAAAATCTACAATATTTGCACAGATTACACAGTTAAACATCATCTATGAATTCATAAAAAGATATTAAATCATAGATGCTCAAATAGAAATGTGAAGATGAGCAATGTTCATCACTTAAATTGGGAACTCAGAAGTTACAGCGAATGTCCCTTTAATGTTAAATAATATTTGGAAAATAATTACACACTCTGGACAATAGAATACCTGCTAAATCCTAGTTCCTTCTTATAACACCATAATACTGACGGTCTGGCCTTTACCTGTGACTTTGATAGCATGTGATGCAGTATTACAACCTGGTGAATTTAAATAAGAAGAACTTAGAGAAGAACGTAAACAAAAATGAACACGACGAATGATGATCGAAGACGTTGAGACATCGCGAAATGTCCTACCTGGTCACGTCCCTTGTCACCAACTACAACAAAAAAGCTTCTCTTTTTTGTCGTGACACCGTTCTCAATCTGAATGCGAATGCGGTTATCAACTTTCTTTCGGACCATTTTCCCAACGAAATATCAACACACAGCTGATCTATCTGGACAGACACATGTGCAAACTACTGTTGCGCAACTATACTGCGCATATTGTGACTACCTAGGTGAGTGGTAATCGATCTTGGTAAACCCTTTAGGTGACTTTAATTTGTACAGCGAGACATTTCAAGTTCTGAAATGTGAAAAAATCATGGTTTAATTATAATACCCATTAGTTTAGGATAACTCTAGAGATTATATTGTAAAATACTGTACAAATCATTCAGTTATTTAGATCGTCGTAACAAATTAATGTTACACTTTTTTTTGTTTTATTTTAAAGCTAGAAGCCTACTCATAAATTAAAAAAAAAAACATAATTTATTCATTTTGCAATAAAATGTACTCCAAGGCAATATATGGATATTGACCTATAACAGTTGGGGGTCACCAGCCTTTTTTTCGAGAAATTGATGGTTGTATTTTAGTGGAAAGTCAACATTTTGACACTATTATAACACTTTTACCACTGGTTCCTATGGCAGAGATATTATGCAATATCTCAAAATCTAGCCTAGTGACATAGACTGAAAAAATCATATATTGTTAATGATGGAGTACTTTTTGTTGTTCTTAATTATTGAAAAAATCTGGGTTTTAAAAAGTGTCAAAAAATGCAATTTTTCTTTAATATTGTGTTCTATGGAATTGTTCTAAAAATAGCAATTTTCAAAAAATATTAGAACACATTTCTCAAAAAGCTTAACTGTAAGACACAAAATAATGCTATTTCATTGTACCATAGGACATTAGCTTCCTGATTGTACATAACAAACTAATGAACATTGTCATGCGATTTATGACCAATTTTGTCAAAAATTATGACTAGGCTTCTACCTTAACACGAGAATAACAAATTACTTTGCCGTCAACTTACTAAAAGCTTAAAGGGCGATGGTCGTCGCGCAGCGCATGTGCGACATTTGTGTTGATAAGCACTGCTTTTCCCATAATCCAATGCGCTCTTCTAATGGAATCACGAGTACGAGTTTTGATCTAGACGCGACGTGTACTCATTGCCGACGGTGACTCCTTCGATACCTTCCAATCACCAAAGAAAAATACTTAGAAAAACTTTGTAACGTCTCAGTTTGTACTCTGGTCTGTGCAACAGTCAAAGTCGCCATCTTTGTTCACATGAGACCCATATCTCGTGCATGCGTAGCGCGACGACCACCTCGCTTTAAGAAAAGTGTATTTTACTAAAATGTTGGATTGATTTTTCCGCCTACTGTATCATTAAAAAGAAATGAGCGAAGCTGCTCGCTAATTATTCAATATAACGGGCGATGGTTTGCCTCTACATCAGTATCTGTATAAGTACTAGTAGTAAAACAAACATAACATATGTCATGAATATCATTTTGAGATTCGTAGTTATATCAAACATTGTTCCACTGGCAAATATTACGATGCGCAAAACATCAAAATAGTGAAACTTGTGTTAACATAAATGGTTTTACTGGTGTGTATGCTGCTTTCATTATGTTCTACTGCCATTAAAGTTGTTATTAGTAGATGTTGAAAAGTTTTTCTATTGTACCCCTAATTAAAAAAAGGCTTAGATTCCCTCGGGCTTCTTGTCGGAAACATTCTGTATCCGTTATTAGTGAATTATTCTTATTCCAAACGCGCGTACAAGTCAGTCAACCAGATTACTAATATTTCCGATCGGCATTGACGACGCTCAGTTACTAGTATTCTACTCATGCATGTTGGGAGGCTATTCTTCTCTTACTATACCTTGAGGCTTATATATCTGTCTTTCTTACATTCCTCTATCATGTAACATTGCAAAATCATTATATTTCTCAAATTTTGTTGTTTAATTTTTTTGAAATTGTATTGATGATTTTTGACATGGACGAAAATTCTACAGTACAGTATTGATCTATGCTCAGTATGCTCACTACACTATTACAGTCCTTCTCAAGGACATGACTTTTCAAATTCAAATGATTTGTTTTTCTATAAAACAGCCTTAAATGTCACTTTGTAGACTCAGACACTTTTGGTACAATGCCATGTCCTTTATTAAACTCATGGATATGCCGAGAAACTATTTACTCTATCGAACATCAAAGTAGAAATTCAAAATTTTCTTTAAAAAGTAACGCTTTTCATTTCACGTAAATCAATAAATTACGCAACAACGATTCAGTATTAACAACAAATGAGTTGTTATTGTCTCCGCATTACATCACACTGTTCATTGAACATGCAGGAACATGGATCTAATAAGCTAGGGTAATACGGCTCGTATAGTACACATACAACGTGCGTTAGTGAGGGGATATGACCAGCCAATCGAGGTATGACCAATAGCTGACTAGTATACGTGTCTGATACATTTGAGATCAAAAATGCGAATATCTAACACGGGAAAACTAAAATAAGCATGATAAAAAATGTATCTAAAATGTTTTACACAATTGTTATACGTTTGCCATATTTCAAACTTTTACATTTTTGATATGCACGTCTGACATGTTTGTAAACCCGACTTTAGGTTGGGAAAGGATTGCAAATTTGGAACTTTAAGCACGTCAGGCAATTTTTGAAAGTTTTACATTTTTTGAAATACACGTTTGACATTTTTTAAACATGTACATTTTTGAAATACACATTTGTCATTTTTGAAACTAGACTTTGAGCTGAACAAACTTGCACGTTCGACATTTTTGAACTGCGACTTAGGAATTTGTAATTTTTTGAAATGCACGTTTGGCATTTTAGAAACTCTACTAGTAATAGAGTTGGGTTCTAAAATGACAAACGTACTTTTCTAAAGCGAAAAAAAAAATGACTCTGTGAAGGGGGTGTTTGGATGTATGTGCTAACTCGATTTTCAAAAATTCCAAATTCCAAATGTTTAGTTAAGTGCCGTGTCGTATGGCAAAAATCGTTTCCAAAATGCGATAGTAGCTAAAATGCTATACATGCGATTCTTCACGGCTCAAAGTTGGACTTTTTGAATTACACATTTAAGTATTTTTGAAAAGATACTTCAAAAGGTGCATTTCAAAACTAAGGGAACTTTTGCATTTTTGGAACTCGAATTTGAGATGCAAAGGCTTGCACGTTTTGACATTTAATGCACGTTAGGCATGTTTGAAATTTTATTTTTTTCTGAAAAGCAAGTTTTCGCATTTTTGAAACCCAAATTCAAAAATCCAGAGGTCCATTTTGAAAATGTTAAATCATCTTGCCTTGGCTGTTGTGAGTCAATCCAGTTAGTTTACAGAAAACGAATTTACCATTTGGCTTTTCCTTGTGTTTTTCAAAACAGAATACCAAATACGTTACTCACTAAAAATAACTTTGTTCATTCGGAAAACAGAAATAGCAATATTTGTTAAAATTAGTTAAGCCTCGTACGACAGCATTGTCATTGGGGAATCTATTCGACATAACCAATCACTACTAGAGGGCGCTTTACAAAAATAGTTATAAGTCACGCGGCGCAATTGAGTACTCAAACTTACCAATATTAAAAGAGTGGAGTGCAAGAAACTCATATTGAATATTCAAATAAACTTTGTTTGTGTCATATAATTGTCATAATAGAGAATACAATAGTAAAGCGAATATGTTATTGTACATATAAGGTGTATATATATATGTAAATACAGTAGTTACTGTAAAACCATTTATTTTATGAGTTCATGGACTTGGCAGAGAAACAATGACTTCTATTGTTATTTTACATGTGGATTAATTTAGCGGATTTTACTTATCAGCGAAAATAGCGAAATTAAAAATCGGCCAATAATTAATACGCTTACAGTACCTTAGTGGCGGTCAAATCCAATGCAGGATTATTAACCGAGACTTATTTATTATGTCGAATAAATAGAAAACTTATTGTGAAATTACTTGACATTTATTTATTTGTGTTTAATTTGTGTTGTGGAATCACTGCAATGAAATAAAGGTTTGTGGATTTTCATTATTGACCCCGAGTCAATAATAAGATTCTCGTGACCGCCCTCTGGCCAATCATATTCATCAGAGATTTGTAATATGTAATTCCATTCTATGACAGCTCTTACAAATTGTCGGAGGATGCATTATTTAGTTATGGACGTGAAACAATAAGAACAGTAAAAATGAAACTCGTAAACAAGTATTTCTAATTTCACAAAATTCTCTAACCAGTATTACTCAGTTGTCATTCGAAAAAATAATACTGTGTGTGTCTGCAAACTTGTGAACAAATCCCAAAATACAAAAGTCTTCTCCATTTCACTGCATGTGACTTTCAGTAGAATGTCATCTCATGCAACAAACCATGAAACCTAACAAAAGAGAGAGAGAGAGAGAGAGAGAGAGAGAGAGAGAGAGAGAGAGAGAGAGAGAGAGAGAGAGAGAGAGAGGGAGAGAGAGAGAGAGAGAGAGAGGTGTATTTCAACACAGTTCTTCGAGATTAGTCTATTTGTTTACGTAGCCTCGATTTCAAAGAGTGATGTTTTACGTTCAGAGTAATCAAAAGTGAAATGTACTAACATTCGAAACAAGAATGACAGAAACAAGAATGACAAACTCCTTCAGAATTCAGCAATCACTTGAGACGCTTCTTTCAAAGTATGTGCCAACAAGAGCCTGGGCGCGACTTCTAAACCCGGGTATATTGCCGGTCGCAACTCCACAAACAAGTAATATCAAAGGCTTTAGTTCTTAGATCTACGGTGACATATACGAAAGTGTATACGCCACATTGTTCCTCTATTTGGATACATATACGTTAAACGCCCATATTAAATATACTTTTAGGAGCTTGATTACAGGGAATTGAAAGGAGACTCACCCAGTGCGCACACACCACAGACAATATGAATACGTATACGACCACGCCTAATTTTAAAACTGGTCATGCTCGTCCGTCGGTCTGTGACATTTGTTGCGTGTTCTCACGGCTACTACAGTTTTTAGTAGCGGTTACCGGGAAGTTATAAATTAAAGTACGGTTGTCGTCACGCAGCGTGTGTTCGAATTTCATGTGAACAAACAATGTATTTTACACGCTAATAATAATAAATAAATAATAAATAAATAGCTATTTTATTTTTGTAGCTATTTTTATAGTTATTTAGGACTACGATTACCAAATATTATCTTCAATATATTTTACACGCGTTGCATACGTCGCTATGAACAGGACGCACCGAACAGGACGCGGCACGACGACCACCACCCTTTAAAGCGTCGCCTCCTGTTATGAGACTCATAGCGACGTATACAACGCGTGTACAATTGTTTCTTTACGTGAAATTCGCGCGACGACCACCCCGTGTTCAAACCAAAATACTAGAGAATACAGAGAATTAAAAAACAATTTTGCTTTTGAAACCTATCTTGTTACCCTGTAAAATATTGAGATGCGCGCAAATTTAACTAAAGTACGCCTCAGTGACCATAACTTGAAAATTGAGACTGGCAGACACAAAGGAATACCCCTTGCTAATAGATTATGCAACCTTTGTGATCAAAATCAAGTATAAGTTGAGTATCATCTAATGATGTTATGCAAAAGATATACCCCCGAAATAAATGTCTTAATTGAAATGGCAAAAAACAAAATCCAAAACTTTAAAAATTTGTCGCCAAAGACACAATTCATAGCCAGTGGTCTAACACTCCCTGTAGCAAGGTACCTAAACAAGTGTTTTGAAATAAGACAGCAGCCCCATTTATTTATTTATTTATTTATTTATTTATTTATTTATTTATTTATTTATTTATTTATTTATTTATTTATTTATTTATTTATTTATTTATTTATTTATTTATTTATTTATTTATTTATTTATTTATTTATTATTTTGTTTAACCTTCTATTCTTTCTAAAACATTTGTAACCATTGCCAATCCCTCCGGGGAATGTGTACAGTGTTAATAAAAAATATTATTACTAGTAAATTTCCCCTTCACCGGTATCAATATCTCGCGTCTACAACATTTCACACAAGAAACTTGCATTTCTGTCACTGACATCATCTGTTGATCCACTGTATTTACATTGTGTTTTGCATGATACTGGTAAGACGAGTACACATGCAGTAAACCATGGTTACTAAAAAGTAACCGTGAGTAAACCATGTAAAACCACGGTGTAATGACTGCGGCAGGGGAATAAGAGAAATTGGGCGAGCAAAATTGTCACTGATAAAAATTTTGAGATATAAAGAAATAATTGCACCATAGAAACCAACGTTATTTTTTTTCATTTTCTGAATCATGGTGACATGAATATGTCATAACCTCCAATTCGGCTCAAAACCCTCCTAATATGTTTCAATAGTAAATTTAGTTCACCGCTTACGCTAGGTATTCCTTATCTAATTTGGTGAGCATAATTTTGCTGTCTCACAAAATTGTGCTGACCACTTTCCCAAACTCTCATAACGTTGAAAGTAATTGGGAGAGTGCATCTCTAGTGAATGGGTTTCGCCGCTGAGGGCGTATTCTCACTATGACAAAGTACGAAAGTCGAGCAACTTTTTGAATGTGTTATACAAAAGACTTTTGTCTTTGGTTATACTACTAGTACATTTATATATAAATAGTATCTCCGCTGATGCAAATATCGAAATCGCATTTATTTATTTTTTCATTTATTATTAAGTATATGTTAATGTTTAGAATAAAATAGGGTGCTCGTCCCAGAATACATAATTATTTTTTCGCGGTCGCTTGTATAATGATCATGTTATGTTATTTTTAACTAAAATTAAATATTTCAAATATAATCGAGTTGATAGTACATTTTTACTGCATACGTATAATATAAATGTTATATTTGACATACATTAAAATAGAAAGAAGTGTTTAAAACTAAAAATAACCGTATATTATTTTATTATTTTTCTAAAAATGATAAATGAGGCGTACTGACAGGACATCAAATCGTGTGAACAGTGTACTCACTTCAACTCGCACATGCAACAGATACCGGAAGTAAATAACCAGTCACGTGACCAAAACTTGACTCGCTCACTCCGGCGAGAGAGAGAGTTGGCGTGTGATCGTGGATAAGTCTAGTAAGATATCAAAGTTGTACCAAAACGTTGTTGATTACTTCGTAACAGAGTGGACTTAACCGTGTGATTCACTGTGACATTGTGCCTTAAGCTAGGGTGAGTATCTCGATATTGTTGTGGATAAATGACCCTGAATGGCTGTAGTGAAATTAGTGCAATTATTTTTTGCGGAATTTGCTCAGACAGGTTCTCGTTTTCGCCCATTCCGAGTGCCTAAACTTCTATCCAAGAATACGCAGACAGGTATCGAATATATCGAGTCACGAATATATCGTGTTGAATGTGTATGTGCTTTGTAGTTTGTAGAAACACACAGCATTCCGACTCGGTGTTGACTGTCGCCTGACACGGCGCGCGGCTGGCTCAATGCAGTGACCTGAAATTGATGACCAATAGTACTGAAAGGCGATAACCCGCTTTCCGAGGGTTGTAGTTTCTTCGAGATAGGTCGGAAAGGAAGGGGACCACGGTATATTGATTTGCAAGTAATATTAGTACAATCATATGTCGTGCCAGTTTCTTTTTTGTTTTTTGGTGTGCGACTGCGAGTATAACAAAAAATATCTGAGCATTATCCATAGAACTCGATGGTAGAATCGGTAGATCATTTCCGGATATTGTCTATGGTTTAATTATGTTGAAATCGTAATTATTGAAACAGACTGAGGAAGCCAGTCTTCCCTGGCATGATGATCACAATAAATAGAACTGAAGTTGAGATGTCTCATCTATACCGGAACTTCATTAACTAAAGCGTGATTCATGTAAACTCGCCAAAGATAGAAATATATTATTTCGGTCATCTGCATTCTCACGCCTGTGTGTATTTACATTGGCAATGATGCGTTGTGCTAATTAAAATAATTATTAAAAAAATCATTAATCACAAAAAAATAGTGATTCATTGTATTTTAGACTGTATGGATGGATTACTGGTATATCATATTTGTTTCAAACCATATACTGCATATGCATTTGATATATATCCGTGAAATAAAAAAACACATTTTACTCTGTTGAAATTGTATATGATTTAGATCTTGAAATAGTTAACCTGAACAGGTGAAAGGGGTAATATGTTGGTGCACTTATATTTGAAGATGTAGACGAAAACACCTATCTGGTTTAACAGTAGTTCTTTATTGCAGTCTTACATTGTACTTGTAAGTGCTGTTCTTGTAGTTGTTTTGTTTGTCTCCTTATTTTCTGTGGGCATATTTATAGTATGCGTTTTGTGTTGCGGTACGTTGCAGCCTAGACAGGACCTGATTTGCATCTACCTAGGTACTCTAGTTAATTGTTGATGTCCAATAAAAATAATTTCTGTTGATGTATCGTTTATTAATATGTAGCTTGTATAAACTAAAGCCTGCATTGTGCCAATCATAGTCCATATGTATACAATCATAAATTACACATTATTACAATACCATCAAAAATACTACTACTTGAACAGGTACTCAGGGCAGGAAGGAAACGCTGAGCCGGTTGTCAGCTTTAATGAATAAATATGATAATTATTACGCTTGGCTGCTATTTAGAATAGAATGTATCATTGGATTGAAATATTTGAATCATTGCCTGAGGGGATGAATGACTTCACTGCACACTGCATTGCTTGTTCAATGTTATCTTATTGCTTGTTTGATTTAATTTACTGATAATTGCATTTTATAAAAGTAGTTTTGTAAACATTTGATTCAACCTCAGATATGGCTGATGATGAATGTAGTATTTGCTACGTTCACACAGCAGCATTCTATCAAAGCCAAACTACTGCACCTCACAACGATTGACAGGAGATTATCTCCAATGCGCAGTATTTCTTTACTCTGCCAAATTGATATTAGGGTGCATACCTCTTCCTCAAGCTGGAAATTGTGTGAAATTACAAACAATGTTGCCTCTGTCATAATTGAAATGAGAGTAACTTGAAGAAGACGATTGAGGCCGTGATTTTTGATATGTATACATGGTCGGGCCACGTCAGGGCTCAACGACCATATCAGAGTTCAACCTGAGGATTTATTGGAGCCGAACTTGTCTCGAGCCAAACATGTATACATGGCCATTTTTGCTGACTCAAGACATAGGGCTCCAATAAAGTGCAGTCAATAAACAACAACTCTCCCATGCTGAATACCGGTAGTAGCAATTGAGATTATGATTAGTACTGTAAATCCCTTTTATTTCATTGAAAATTTTGTAGTAGTGTAGTTCCCACTGACTTTTTTTTTTTTCGTGAACACCATTGAATCATCAAAACGCAAACAAATTGTAGCAGTGTTAAAGTGAGGGACTTGTCATCTGCGCATGCGACAGATGGCCATAGCATGTTGTTGTTTACAAATAAGCGTCTACCCATGAGCCTTTGCATTTTTAGCGTGCTTATGACTTGATTCCTGTGTATGTGTGCAGGTGATGACACTTCCGCTTCAATTGAACGGTTGTTTTGTAATCTTCAACAAAAAAGTGCCCAAGATCCCAGGAAAGCCTAAAAAGTGTACAAATAACTGTTGTATCATTATTATGCATATGCATATAATTCTGTTCTGTCACTTCTAATATCACATTACCTATACTGCTAAACAATCATGTAATTGTATCTGAAATACAACTACTAATTCACATATGAATGATACGCAATTTGCCATGTCTTAAAGTGTAACAATAGTCCTTTTTGTTATGCAACTACAGTGAAATGGTGCTAGCATTACCCTGGGGGAGAACACTGGTGTGACCTTATACTTGCAATGAATTTTTTCGCTGTACATGCATTTTATATATCATTTCAATTTTTTTCCAAAACTACTAAATTTTGCATGTAACTCATAACCTTTCTTGGTTTTTCATATCATTCAAATATCATTCAAGTACTAACGTTAATTTTAAAATTAATGCTACCTGTATTGATATCAACATATGGCCAATTTACGTGATTAATCATATCATGTCTAATTTCAGAATATTTTAATTAATTGTCTATAAATTAAATTTTCTCTGCTTACACTGCTATCAATTTTATTTCTGTAATTGAGTATTTGTCTGGAATTTGTTCTATATAAGAGAAATTTTCTATTGGTTTTAGATACTAGAATTAGTAATGAATATATAAACACAGCATGATGGTGAAAAGATGTTTTAACAATTGTGTTGCAGATGGCCAATGTCATGCTGACATCATGATTTTACATTGTAAAACCATTAAATGTTTGCAGGCAGAAATCTTTCTTTTCATCTGAAATTGTCAGTGCTACAAAATTTTACAAATCTTTATACAATTTTTTCAACAATAGAAGCAAATGTAAATGCACTTTTTAATTTTAACTTAAATTTTAAATTTTTAAATTTTGAATTGTAAGTTTTTAATAATTATGACCATAGATTCATATTTGTCATTTATATAAGCGCATAATCTTCTAATAGAGCAAATACGGTACTTTTACTTTAGTTTCAAAATTTGGTGACATGTACATGTATGTTGTAGAGAATATTTTTTTGAAAATAATATTGATCTTTTGATTTCCTGAGACAGATATTTGTTACATTTATACTGTAGCTATGTCAGTTCTTTCTAGTTAACCTTAGCTTTACAAAGGTCAAGGAGATAACAATGTATGGGGATTGCTTCATCTTGTGGTCACACTTTAGTGCTTAACCATAATACCTCAGCAAGAGTGGTTCAAGGCTGCATTTCTATCTTTACAATGTGTGTTGTATTTGTGCCCTGGTGGTCCATCTCACAGCCTGTTCTATAATTATACCCCTGTGACGATTTAAACTTTATGGTACAGTGATGTAAACAATCGGGTACAGTGATATGATCCAACTGTAGTGCTAGAAATTGTAGTCATTCTTCTCTGGTGTTGCACTTTGCATTCTCAAAATACCAATAAAAGTGACTATAAACACCCTATTACAAATGAGTTAGGACCATCAATGTATAAAATCTTTAATAGTAGAACATGGGTGATGTTTATGGCAATCACATTTGAAAGTTCTGAAGTTTCTGTCACTTTGCACTAAATTAAAAGGTAAATCTAGGCTAACAGCATGATACTCCCAGATGTAAGAATTGCAAATGTAGAAAAATGCAATTTACAAATTTTCTATATCATTTTTCATTCTATACCTATTAAATTTTTTAATTAGTATAAATTGTCTGCCATTTTGATTTTCCAGCAATGGAATATGGGTAAAATATGACATCACAACATCTGTTACAAAATTAAAAAAAATGATTTCATCCATAACTTAAGAACTGTTGGTGCAAATTAGTTCAAATTTTCAGGGTGCATATTATTCGTGTTTATAATTCAAAAAATCAAAATTATAATGTTGCTTTTTTATATATATAGGATATATATAAATATATAGGACCAGGAATATAGAATAAGAGTGTAAATGTATTATGCTGATGATTTAACCAGTGATTATGATAATACATGTTTAAGTTATATTGTCGGTTTGTTTTGTCCTCTTTAATCATCTCAGTTCATTCATTTCCTGCCTAGTCTGTTTCCTTATACATCGTCTAAAAAAAAACTACCATCATATGCAACTAATGCTTATTTTGAAAAAGTTATGAATGTCTTCTTGACAATATAACAAATTATTATATGATTGTCACAAAAAAAATAGAATTCACGCACAAGTTCGAAAGTGTTACAGACGTGTTGGAATGTAATTACGCCACATTCGAACACATCAGATGCAAAGCGTTATTAGCGCATAATGAAAATAGAATCCCACACTGAACACAAAACATTCGTCAATGACATTTTGGGCTTTCGTCTCTCATTAGATTATTATACAAGTAGGGAAAAGATATACCGATATAATAATAAGTTAATTGAGTATGCGCTCAGGCAGTACACAAATTTATCAACCTCAATACGATCTTAGTACTAACTTCGTGCATACTTTCGGTATTGTAAGATCCTCATAATATTACCATAGAGGGGAGGCAAGGGGGTTAGCTGGTACGATTTTACTAGAAATAAAAATGGTTTTTTACAATTTACAAGGAAAAAAAAAGACGTTTTTACAGTTTACAGTGTTAAAAAATGGAACATTGAATGGTCCGAAAAGCTCTC